CCTAACTAGTAATGGTGAGAGAAAGCTGTTAGAAGAAGAAAAATTTATCTCTTATTTGAGCCTCAGCGTTCTTTATACCATTCATCACATACCTTGACATATATAGCTAGATATGCGGCGATCCATGAGTAATGGAGAATATGGCCTTACCGTCGATGCTTTTACATGCTATTTCAGATGAATGAGACCATGTGAGATTTTATCCATTTGGCCTGTATGATTTATAGAAATGGTTGAAAATATACCTTGGTGAAAGGTATTTTTTTTTGTCTACTACTCTCATGTTTTGTAGCCTTATAATAGGATTATGTGCACTACAGCCAAGTAGAATTTTTCTTTCGATACTATAGTTTTGCAAGATTACATTTCTAACTGTGGTTATGAAGTGGAACAGAAAAGCTTTTCCGCTTGGCTATTGTGGCAGTGGACCTAAAATCTAACAGTTCTTCAAATGGTGAAGCTACAAAAGAAAGAATAGATATTACATATTATAGCAGATATAAACAGCCGTCTCGGTTCCTAACCTTGATATGAACAAACCTACCATTAAAAAATCCTAGCGATCCGATCTACTTGCAGTTCCATTTCCAACACTAAATGCTTCTCTAACAAAAATTTCTAGCCAGCAAAGTTAGACTAACCCAGAAAAGGCTAATTACTTCTTTTCTTTTAATTCAGAGTGAAAGATATGCTATCATACATGCGCTAAGGATTTTGAATGTATAGGTGGACCAACGATACATGGAATTAGATGATGAATGACTTCTATTACTGTCGACGGTGGTATCAGATCGTGCAGCTTGGAAACGTCTTATCCTTATAGCCAGTGGAGCCAACAGTAATGGTGAGAGCTGTTAGAAAAAGAAAGCAATATGCGCCAAGGAATTTTTAAACTTAGATCATAATTTACGAAAAAGAAAATTTTCGATTTTCAGTTTATATCTTTGTGATGAAACTATTCTTATATATACTTTTATATTGGCTTTGTTGAAAAAATTAAGGAAGATTTTTTTTTATGAGAAATTTTATTTCTAAGAACTCTCATCATTTTTGCTTAATTCGCTTTTCAGATTTGAAAAATTTCGCCGAGGATCGAATTTCGTTAATATAAATATTTTGATAATATATTTATTTTCTTTTTTTTTTTAAAATTCATCGCAATTTTAATTAATAAATTTATTGTGCCGATTTATTTTATTTTAAAATAAGCTGAGAATTACAGGTCAATCATATGAATTTTTAATTTTTACCAGAAGCAAAAACATAGCACTTTGGCCTTCTGAAACAATAACAAAAACCCAATGAGCCATGTCAATTTCTATTAGTGCAACAGTTGCTGCTTCCACTTCATTTTATCTATTTACATATTTTATATATTTTATAGTATTCGATTTGGATTTGACATTATAATTATTTGACTCTCATAATTATTATTATTGATAATAATAATTTAATTATTATTTTTATAAAATATGATAAAACCTTTAATGATAATAACAATAGTAATAATAATAATAGAAATAATAATAGTAATAATCGTTTCAATCAAAATTTGAGATTTTAAAATTAAAAATTTGAAAATGATTTCAAAATGATTTGGTAAAAATGAACGAAGAAGTTATATTCGAATTATTTACATATGATTGATTCAAATAAGCTCTAACCAGATATTGTAGGATTAGAAATTAGCCAAAAATAAATGGATACACTTGTAGGTTATCAATTATTATCTTGAAAGTTATCAGTTATTATCTTCATGAGATTGCTAGCAATCATTTATGGATTTATGATATGTTTGCTTGTGTCAATTTCTTTAAACATATCAATTCATATGATTAAAAACCAAATAAATGAATGAAGAATTTTTATTTTTTCTTTTTTAAAATAAGATAAATCAATAAAATAAATTTATTATTTAAATCGAGATGAATTTAAAAAAAAGAAAGTAAAATTTATTATCAAAATATTTATATTAACGAATTTAAAAGCAACAATAACAATAATATTTTTTTCCAATGTTATTATTATTAATAATAATAATAGTCACCTGTTTAACTTTTCGAAAAACCCTGTCATAGCTATTAATGTTTAATGTTTCAGTGAGCGAATAATTAAAATAGTGTAAAGGTGAAGAAAATAACCAAAAGTAACCAAAGAAACATAAAAAAGTTTCATTAATCTAAAAATTTTATTTAAATTTTTTGCCCCTTTTAAACTTGAATATCGCTATCACCTGAAATATTCTACGCTCATACCCTCTTTTTCGATTGATAAACAATGTTTTCATAGCAACATCAATTAACGAGAACAATAAGAATATTAATAATAATGTTAATAATATTAATGGTAATAATAATAACAATAATAATAATAATGACAATAACAAATTTTTATGGAAATGAAAATTTGTTAGGTAGAAAAACTATCTATAATCTGTCGCTATATTATTTATATTTATACAGTTATATTTATTCAAAGGGAACTATTTTGATGATTAAAATGGTACTTTAAAAATACAAAATATCTAAAAATGCAAAAGAAAACGTATCATATCAGTCATTAAAAAGCAATAAAATACAAAAAATATACGCAAAGTTATTTCTGGCAATTATATTATAGAAATTATTATTAAATTATATTCAGACTTATAAAAATTCGTATTTTAAAATTCCTAAAGCTAAATATATCGAAATGAATAGTCGATTATAATGATTAGTTCAATTAGAAACTAACTACAAAAGCATATTGATTTTGCTGAGCTTTTTTTTTTAAAAACAGAATTTTATTAGTGAAAAAATTATCATTAATTGTTCGTTTTACTGATTTGTGTTATTTTATTCGAAGATATCTCATTTATTTATTTAATTTCTGATAATATGTGATAGTTATTTTGATAAAAGATCAGAAATTAAGTATTTGCTTTGATAAAAAAATTTCTTAACGAATGTTGTGTTATGTTGATTTTGAATTTTCTCTTTTAAATATCAAATTAATATTTTACGAGAGTTGGTTGATCAATCTCGAGATCGATCTCCACATTATCTCATCTTAAAATTTGCTTCATTTCTCTCTTTAAAACTCAGTCGAGATTGGTGTTATCATTATCATTTTTGTTCTTCTAAGAATTTTCACCATTTTTGCTTAAGCTTATCGTACTCGCTTATACTCGGACACGACAAATTTTCAAATCACTTAACGATTGAAATAAGTAGTCAACATCGGTTGGATTGTTTTTAGTCAATGATACTGATAATACTGATAATGATAGCATTGATCTATTTTATTTTATTTAATCTATATAAGAATTTTTTTATATTAATTGGGCTAATTTACTTATTTGCTTCAGGATTTGCCAATCATAACTTTATGTTATGTTCCATTCTATGATCTCTAATATGCTCCTTTTTGCTTCAAAATCTTCGAAATCTTATCTATACTCTTTTTCGCACATCTCAAACGTTTTCCCTATTCGAGAAGAGTGGTTTACCTATTGCGTCACTGTGGGATCCCGTAATATGCCTGTTATAATAGTCCTTTAAAACATTGTTTCTCCATCAGCTCCAATTCCCTCACACTCATTTGGCATCATCCAAGCGTCCTTTTTTCTTAATCGTCCTTCAAACTTCTGTTATATTGCTCGAATACCCACCAAATTGACATTCATTTCTCCTTAACAACCCTTAAAGCCACATCATAGTTCTTCTACGGGACATCCAGAAAAAGTGAACCATTAACTATGAATCAGTGATAGTACTCCTCTTTCGCTCTCTCAAATTTCCAACGTATTCTATAAAACACTATTATGCTTTGGGTATTAATAAGAGTATTTTCAGGAAAATTAGATCTTCTAAAATTATCATGAGAAGTTTTCCAAAAAAAATTGGATTTTAAGAAGTGAATGTACTTCATTTTTGAAAAGCATCTTTTATTGTCAAACCATAGAAGAAAATGTGCAAAATGATTATGTTTCCGCAATGTTTACTATGCAAAATAATGAATATATTTCTGTGATTAATATATATATTAACAAATAGTAAGTCGCTTTTTATATTCTATTTTTTCTTTCCTAAGAGCATAATTCTTATAATTTTTGATTAATGAATATAATTCTTGATGCTCGTTCCGCAGGCTTGCCGGACTAGACAAATTTTGCCGGAGAGTTAGCGATAGAAATACAGATAAATTGCCAGTATCTCTCAAATTTTTAGTAGATAGGCTCACTGCTATCTCAAACAATAAAAACTTCACCATCGGTGCTTCGGAATGAGCGCAACAACCAACTGAGCCACTCTATCATTCTACTGTCATTATTAATTGAACTGACTTCACTGGCAAATCTTTTTGTAAACAAGTCATTTGGGGATAAAAATATACAGATTTTTATCATCTGATTTAACTTCACTGTGGAATTTTCTTTTTTCAAACCAGCTCATACTACTTTAGTTGGGTGTCAGACTGTTCTCATATATGACAAGAAGCTTGTTTTATCTTTCTTCTTTTGCCTAAACGTATGCTGTATTGCTGTGGCGCTTATAATCTCTTTTTCTATCCACGTTTTTGTTGGCCCTCCAGCTTTTTAATACAATACACCACAAGGCTTTATAATTTAGTCCGATATTGGCGGCCGAGAACGCTCTAACCAACATAAGTGATAGTAAAACACCTAATAGTTCCTCAGTTTATAATATCTCAGAAGGGCTCAATGGGTTGTTGCTCATTAGAGCACCGATGCTGAGGTTCGATTCCCTGTAGGAGTAAACCTGTATAAAAATCCGGGCGATGCTAGCGACTCACTTATCTCTATCGCCAAGGGATTCCCTGGCATATTTATTCAATGCGACAAGCCAGTGGAGCGAGTTTAACCAGTAATGATGAGGACTCTTAAAAAAAAAAATTACATCTTATATGCTATATATTATATTTAGACATTTAAAAATTTTATTTACAGGGCATAAAATTCAAAAATAGAAAAAACATTTTGTTAAAGTGGACTCAGTTTAATGTGCCTTGCTAATGATATGAAAATTAATCATTTTGATGTTTTGCTAGATAAAGAAACAAATAAAGCATATATTGGTGGAGAAATATTAAAGGTTAGTGTTTTATACATATTATACATGCATACATATTTATACTGTGGTGATACCAGTAAAAAAGACAAGTCCTCTGGACGGAAAAAATTATCTTCATGGCACGGCATACTTGATGCTTAATAAAGACTCATAATTTTTCTCTAACGCTCATTTCGATCCTTCTTTTCATTATTATATATTTTCATTACCATTTTTTTCAAAAATTTCCATCATTCCCCTCTGCTTTCCCCAGTATTTTCAATCACTCAATTTTAAAACTGCATTGCGATGTTGATGCGAAAATAATGGCTCCCATTAAATTGAGATTGAAGTTGCAAACAGGTAGGGAAACAGGGAGGGAGATTTGCTAGTGAGCATGGATATTTTCATCAATGGATTTTCTCAAATTCTTACTGAATCCATCGTATTGTGCCTTCCAGTTATTAATCCAGGGATTATCCAAAATCCCATGGCGAATGCTATAGCCCACCAAATAATTATTCTTGATTTTTTCGGATAATAATAATAGATTCTTATTTTAATTTTTTATTTTATTTGCATATTTTAAATAAAAGTAATTTTGTTAAAATAAAAAGTAATTATTTTGTTTAAACTAAAATTTCAAATTGATTTATATATTTATTATATATAAAATAATGAAATAAATCAATTCGAATTATAAATAAATATTTATAAATATAAATTTTAAAAATATTTATTTTTGTCCTTGAAATATAGTAAAAATAAAAATATTTTTTTAGAGCTCTTTTCATGGAGAGAAAAAAAATGCAAAAAAATAATGAAAATAAATCGAATGAAATCCTAAATTTTTTCAAAAATTTTCGATTATCAATGGTCCACAGGTTGATACCTGTCAAAATAAATCGCATAAATATTATATATATTATACAAATATATATATATATATGTAAATATAAAAATAAATACATATGTACAATATAAATATCTATATTATATACAAATAATATATATATATATTTAGTAAATAAATATATATAATATTATAAATAAATATATATAGATAGTATATATATATATATATATAAAATATATGTATGAAGAACATTAAAAAATATATAAATAAATATAAATATATATAATATATGCATATACATATTTTGTATACCCATTAACGCTTGAATGGTGCAGTGATTAAGGGAAGACGATTTATATGAAACGGAAAAATAACGGAAAAAAATTCGAATCATGTAATCGTAAACCTCCCTGTCTTTCGAGCAAGTTCTTGGGCGAGACATCCTGAAGGCAGCTTGTCTGCTTAGCTCAATCTTCACTCTAACAAATCTCTGGAAGAGGATCCGAAGTTGAGGTTGAGTCCATACCACCCATACGAGATGAGAAGAGGAATTTGCTATAGCCCACAATTTTTTATATATCTATTGTTGTTATATATTACTGCGTTACTACTAATAAAAACTTGTTTTGCGGAGTGAAATAATCTTCGCACTCCTTATCTTATCTTTTTATCTTCATTATCGGATGCGTTTTGGTAGTTCTTAAAAACCCAATGTTTTCTCTTAATATTTATTCAATATTGCAATATTTGCTATTTTTTGCTAAATTTTTGATTTTTTTGAAATTTTTGATTTGCCCATCTCCACTTTCTACAAACATGCATCGCAATTATGCTGCATACGCTTTTTTGAGTATTTGCAGGCATATTTTGATAATTGCAAATGAATTTGCAAATAATTATTTATCATTTTAGTTTTTATTTATTAAAAATGATTTTCAGGGTGTAATCGAAATAGGAGTATCGGAAAAAGTAAAAGTGGCCAGATTAATTATCAGACTTAATGGATGTATACAAACAAGGTGGAAGAATAAAATTAGTGATATTATGTATGAAAGTAATGAACAAATACTCAATGATTTTATTGATTTAACTCGGTTTGGTTTATTTTGTATTCCATGTTCCACTCGATTATTATTTTGACGTAGGCAAATAACTAGTAATATTGTTATCAACAGAACTATAAATAAATCAGTAAAATGAGTAGTAGCTTACAGTTATCATCATTGATTAAGCTAGCTTCTCAAACTATCAGTTAAGAGATTTTTAGCAGGAGATTACTTGAGGCGTATAGATGAATAACCGAAATTACTCAAATATTGTTTTTGAGGCTATTTTAGTGAAAAAAATAAAATATATTCGCTGAGAACTGTGGTAACGCCAAACAACTACTAATTAAGCAAACATTGATTTTAAAGTGAAATGATCTCAGCTAGACCAGAAATATATATCGCTTGGCCGAATATACGATTAAAATCTATTCTAATCGTATCAAGCCAATTCTTAAATAATACACTGTCCACTCGACTATTTTCAATATTTTAAATTATTCGACCAAATTTAAGTTCCTTATGATTTTATAAATATAAATTTAGATTTGAAATCATTAGAGTCTTTACAAATTTTATAGAAACTTTAACATATATATATATATTTATACTCTATCAAAGACCTGGGAGATTGGCGTTAAGCAAATTAGCTTTCAGAAGACTTCAGCTCGAACATCTTCATCGAGAAGTATATAAAATATATAAAGTCGATTATTATTAATATTTTATAATATTTCAGGCTGCTCGTTGAACATTGTGATGAAAATTACGATTTAATGAATGGCCTTCACAGAATTCGCTTTCAAATTCCAGTATGTTTTTATCTTTTTCTAGTAATGTTGTCATCAACAGGACTATAAATAAATCAGTAAAGTAAATAGTAATTTATAGTTACCATCACTGGTTAAGCAACTATCAGCAACTATCAGTTAAGAGACTTCTGCCAAGAGATTACTTGAGGTGTGTAGATCTTTATCTTCTAATAATTTGGAAGTTGACTTTATTGGCTAATTTTTCATGAATATTTGAATTTTTCATAGAAATGCCGCTCCTTGTAAAACCCTTAAACAGCACTTGTCGGATCTTATTGTACTCTCTTAATATCACTTAGAAATATTCTATATTTTTTTTATTGTCACCAATTCTTAAAAATTCTCCATATTCTTTTTTTTTTTTAATGATTCAAAGCAAAAAATATTGCAAACTCTATTTCAATGCTTCTAAAATGCTTCGCAAGCTCTATTTCAATATCACTATGTGCACTTTGGTTGCATTTATGGCAAATTCACGAGATTTGAGAGAGCACAAAAAAACAATATCATTGTTGAATAAATAGTGTTAAATAGGTCTAAGAGGAGGAGGGTTACATTTGCAGAAACAAATTTGATGATACTAAGAGAATATCGCAAAAAAAATGTAGCAAGTTCGTAGGAATGGGGTTCGAGATAAAATTTTTTGCAAAATATGATTGATTTGAAGAAATATGAAAGAATTTCCAAAGTAACATAGCAATTTTTCTAGAATATAAATGGGTTTTAGCAAAAGGAAATTTTGGCGTTATATTAAAAACGATAGCGAAACGGGATTTGGTGGAGTTTATGGGTTTTAAGGAAATTATTAGAAAAATTTTGGTAAAAAAAAGCGGCAATAGCGGCGATTTATTTGGTGCTTAAATCGACTTTGAACCTCGGTTTTTTTTTTTGAGGAAATTTTTTAAAAAACTATAAGGGCGTTCTAAGAAGATTTTATTATAAAAGAGAATGTAGCATAAAAATTTAAACTTGATGGATACTGAAAGGATATAATTGTATTTAGACGAATTTTTGATGGGTTAAGCAGATTCCACTCCATTTCGGATGATGAGAACCAAGAAATAATAGATAATAAAAATATATGAATGGGTTCATTTCACCTATAACAACCGAAAACTCTGAAAAATGATCGTACATAATCCAAGAAGATATTGCAAATAGGTTATGACAAAATAGAACATAAATGTTAAGGGGAAATATAGAAATTTTAGGGGTTAGAGAGATTACAGAGATAATTAGAAGTGATTGGAGAAGCCAAATATTTTCTCTCTCTCTCTGAAGCATTTAATTCTAAACGCCATGATACTCTTTGCACCTATGGTGATTTTGGTATAATTTTTAATATAATTTGTAAATGTGAATGAAAATAATTTAGTTGCCTTTGGATCTAATCTCATCAATAGAAAAAGAAAATTATGGATGGGTTCGATATACTTGCTCAGCGACAATTGATGTTCTCGATGTTGAAGCCAAGGAATTATGCGCTGGTTAATTTTTTTTTTTTGAAGAACTATCACCATTACTAATTAATCCGCTTCGCTGGTTTAACGCACTAGATAGATATATATCAGAGAGTTTGGCGATGGAAATAAAGAGGAGATTTTCAGCACCACCCGGATTTTCGGATAAACTTATTCCTGCGCGGTGAATAGAAAATACAATCCACTAAGTCATTCTATGCCCCATGAGCTGATTAATTAATTTTCAATATTTCAATATATCGATAAATATCAATGATTTTAATTTGTTTCGAACAATTTTTTTCCTATGAAAAAATTGAAACATTTATAGTTCCATTACTCTTATCCTGAACTTCATTGTTTTCTGAATATATCCTGAATTTTCTTATGCAGAGCGAAATTTCACAGTACATTCATTGCTAAATTTGGATGCTCCATATATGAGAGAATCAACTAGCAACAAAGAAGAATCGGAAATTTATAGTTGTTGTTTCAAAAAGAGTATAGGAATGCGATCAGCAGAAATGGTTGTTGCAGATATGGGCTTATTACCTGGTTTTTTCATTTTTTTATAGGCTTAGTAAATTTCCTATGATTTAAATTAGTGCTTATCATCGATTTGTTTTTGTAAAATATTAATATTACTAATATACCTTATTTTAAGGTGAAACAGCTCATATAACTTTAACTCTTGAAAATACTAGTAAACGAAAATTACGAAGGAAACACCAAAATATACCGAATAATTGCTGTTTAATATCTTTATGCCAACAACTTGATTTTTTGGCACAAAATCGCTACGAACTTCATATGTTCGATCGAAAATCACTTACAATTGTTGTAGAATCAATAGTTAGTTAGCATTTTTTAACAAATTTAAAATAAATTCTAATAAATTTAAAAGTGATTCTTATAGAAATTGAATTTTTCTCATAGAATAATTTTATTAGGTTTAAGATTAGCCTATCTTATCCTAAGCCTTATTCATGAATTTTACCATTTATTTGGCTGAATAAATTTACAAGTAACTTTCTTCTAACGAAACTCAATTTATTAGTTGGTTTGGCACCATTGATTACGATGGTGAGACTAATTTTTAAGCCTCGCCATAAGGCATTGTTTGGTTGGGTGCAATGATTGCTATTAGTAAGATTCCTTTGCTAGAAAGCCAGTTAGGGAATGGAATGGAATGGAATTTCTCAGCACCATTCGCATAACACTTTTAATGATACGTTCGTTCTTATAAATGTACAGAAATTGAATTGATAACATTTGACCATCCACAACATTTTTATAATAAATTGGATTAAGTGAAATTACAAATTAATTTTTTAAACTTTCTCTTACTGAAATTTTCATCATTGTTGAGAAATATGACAAATATATATATATATATATTTTTTTTTAGGTGACTTGTGAAACTTCAGGTGAAGGATTCCAAACTAAGCATATCGATTTTCCTGTGCCGGCAGATCTCCAACCGACATCGATTAAAGATAATGGACTTATCACAATTAGTTATTTTTTTAAATTGGACATTGATGATTTTGACGTAATCGTTCCTATAATTATAGGATCGTTTAAAACTCCTGGGCCTATATAATCAACTAAATTCAATTGTTGTTAACAGTGGATGAGAATCAAAATTATTTTTGGCTTATTTCGGTCATATTTTTTTTTACAAAAAGTAGGCAAAAAAGTTAAAAAAATAAAATTTACTAATAATTAATTTTATTCCCAAAAAAATATTTATTCCTGAATTTATAAAAAATTACTTCGTAGTTTTAGATTTTAGACTTCTATTAATAATAATAATTCCATTATAAATATTTGTGAAATAGAAATTATATAAAATTGAATATAAAAAATTTATATAAATTCTAATATTAGTAATTTAATAGAAATGTGCAATGTTTTTGCAATGAAAATTATCTTTCATTCTTCAAATTTCTAAAAAAGAAATCTGCGATTTCTGTAAAAAAAAGATTTATTCAAAGAATGAACGATAAAAAAAAAGTCATTCAGCAAGAATAATTTGATTTTTTTTGTGCCTTTTTATTGTGCATATTTCAAGAATTTCCATTGCCATAATTGCAATGATTATTAAAATATTTTTTCAAAATATTCTTTTTAAACGTGAGAAGGGTAAATTACCTTTGATAAATTTGGTAAAAGCATGAAATTTTCCTCAATTTTTGAAAAAGGATAGTCCGATCGATGTTTATAACTTATCTATGCTTTTATTAATACTTTCTGAAAAAATATGGGTATATTTCAACAAAAGGAAAGTATAATATACTAAAATTATTTTGTTATTAATAAAAAATATTGTAATATTGTTATTAATAAAATTATCATTATTATTAAAAATTAAAATTAGGTGACCCGAAAAATTTTTTTAATAAAGATTAAAAATTAAGATTAAAAATTTTTTAATAGAAATAATAAAGAATTATTATTCATTTATCGACAAAGAAATTCAATTTCATTTGCATTCTGTTCCTGTTATTTGCCAGATTTTTTTCCAGATCGATAAGAGGATAGCTCCAGAATTATCAGAAATTTAATTATCAGTTGTCATAAGTTATCATGTTTAGTATATGCTCGATTTTTTAAATCCGATTTTCTATCCGATTTTTATGCCAATTTCTAATATTAATAAAATCATAGAAGACATGCAATTAGTAATAAAGCGCCTTATATTGCTTCATTAATTTCCGACAATTATGGCATTGGGATTTAACGTGCTAGTGGAGAGTGTCTTCTTCGCTTTGGCAATAAGCATAGATTTTCTCATAAAACTTTTTATTTTATCTTTTATCTCTTCAAAAATTCTTCCTAAATCCGTCGCATTTATTCGATTATTAATTTGATTTTGCAGACAATTTCTTTAACCAAATGCCAATATATTATATTTCATTTATTGCAGTTAAATATAATTCTCTTGTTTAAAATAAAAATTCAATTCAATTTTTTAATTTTTTTTGATTTTTCTTTAATTTTTCAAAATGTTTCAAAAAATTATCATTTTTCAATTATTATAAAAATATTGCAAAATGCTATAAAAATAATTCTTTTTCTTCTCTATATTTATCGCAAAGAATTTTTTTATTCAATAATTTATTTATTTACGATTTAGCAAATAAAAAGATAAGTAAATAAAAAAATTATTATTGTTTACGATAAACTTCAATCATTCAATAAGGAATGAATTTGAACGTGTCCTCAGGCATTAATATTATTAATATGCGTTCGTTTCAACCAGCGGCATTGTTCATTTTATATAAAAATAAAAAAACAAAATAACTATGCACTTTTTAGAATTCATTTTAGATAGAGGCAAATAAAAGTCGAATAATAAAGAAAAAAAGTTTAATCGAATAATCCCAAATCTTTAATTTTTTACAAACGTGTCTTCCCGATACTGCAAATATAATAAAAACGCACTAAGCCATTCCATCCGTTAACGATTCTTAAACTAATACAATGACCATACATGTGAAATGATCTCGAAATTTTCGCATTTTCCCATTTATTCATTTGGCATAAATCTACAGCGAGAAAGTCATTTGGTGAAAGATTGTTTTTGGATTGTTACCGAGTAGCACTGAAAAAAAGGAAATCGGCTATGATTGATACAATTGAACAACGAGAGGGGGACATTGCAACAGCAAACGTTTGCCTCATAATCACAAGGGAACCAACATGAGGAGGCGAGAATAGTAGTAACATCCAAATACTAATGAAGAATAAGGTAGACGACATCAAAATAATTGCTAAGAATTCCATCCCACAAACTAATATGTCCTGCCAGTCATCGATCTACAGCTGGCAGATATGACGATCGGAAATTGTTCACTTGATAATATCGCTGATAATAGTAAAAGAAGGCTGAAATCATCATAGAGCTATCGTGAAATTACCACTAAAACGAAAGTACGCCTCTACATAGCAGTGATTTGTTCGATCCAGCGATATATGACTCTTAGATATGGCCAATGAGAGTGGGCGATATTAAGAAGCTGTCTACCTCTAACCACCCTTAAACTAGTACAATGACCAAACATGTGAAATGATCTCGAAAATTTCTCATTATCCCATGTTCGCATTTTCTATATTTACGGGTCGGTTGAGCGGATAAAACATCAAATGTTCGAATCCATGTACGTTCAAATACCAATCGCATTCATTTCCTAATTTCAGTTTATAAATATATCGACGATGGCTGTTTGAAAGCTTAATTTTTACACTTATTTATCTCAGCAGATCGGCAGAAATATTTTATAGAAATATATCAATCATTTATCAGTAAAAAAACGATTTCTTCCTCACTCTTCATCCGTTATTTCACATGATTACGCGATTTAAATGATTTTATTCTTATCACTTATAATATTATTAAAATTCTTTAAAAGCTCTTAATTCAACAAGTCTCTGTATTCTTTCATTGATTGATAATCTCATTAATTTAAATTATATTTCCTCTTTTTGGATGTCTCGTCTGATCAAATAGTCTTTTCACAATTTAAAAATTTAAATTGAAAAAATTTAAAAGTGTTAAGAATTAAAATTTTACTAGTTGTTATTAGTTCAGTAGGCATTTTGCGAAATATCCTTATTTTCGAGACGTTTAGACATTAATAGAAATACAAAATATAATAGTTTGTATTCGAAATTCTATTTTCAAAAATTCCACAGCTATAAATGCTGTTGATCCTACAATAGGCTTGATTCAACTTTTTTCTTGAGACACTTCGCAATAAATGCATGAAATGTCATGAAGTATTGAACTAAAAGGACGTGATTTCAAACCTTGTTATATGGATATTTGAAAACTTTTGAAGAGATCATATGTTTTACTTCACTTTCTAATATGCTAGATTATATTATTATTA